CCTTTGGGGCCTGTATAATAGATGTGGTTTTAGGAGTAGAGAAAATTATTTCAAATGTTAAACGCATACTAGGGGTGAGTGTGGGGGTGGGGGAAGAGGGGCATCAAAAAGTTAGTGGAACAATTCTATTATCTTTCCATTGAAATGTTATCAGAACTTTTTGAGATACTTCTTGCATTCAACATTATCGAATCATCCCAGGAACCAATAGGTTTCTTTTTTTTTTTAATCACACATTATAAAAAACTAGATACTTAACAAATCCTACTTTTAACAACAGAATAGGGAAATCAAACTGTTTTCATATAAGAAAAAAAATAGAGGAAGAATAAAAATAAAATTTAAATCGGCTTTATTTTATTTATTAACGTGAATATAATGTATTACCTCAAGGGTAGCTTGAAGGTAATTCCTGTACAGAACAGGTTTCTGAAAATTATTCAAATTTAAAATGCTTAAATTAGCTTATTTTCTCCCTCATTCTTTCCAGTCATTCAAGGTTTCTCCGGTTTTTCATTTGTCTGGTTTTGTTTTAAAATATCCATCATGGGCATCTACAATGAGCACTGCTGGCATTTTGGGTTATGTTGGGCCTCTCCATCCTCGGTCATCCATTCAGACTCACCAGGCAGGCATTGTGAGGGAGGGCGATTTCTAGCTTAGAAACCTTATCTGAGCACTCTGAGGTGGAACAGCCACACTGGCGGTGGGTTTGGCACCATGGACGAGCATCTAAGAACCGGGTCTGTTCTGAAATAACAACAATCTGGCTGTTTGCTAAGGAAGGCAAAGCAAAACACTATTTTGTTTCCTTTTATGAAAGAAATTGCAGCCGTATCTGACCAGTCTGAGATGATTTTATGTCAACAAGGCATAACAAGCACTTTCATTCACCAGCAATGCCCGTATGTTGAGGAATGTAGAAATCTGGAGACATATTTTATAAAGTCATTATGAGTGGCAACTTAACGATAGGAAGAGTGGGTGAGTTATCTAATACTACCAATATCCATAGATATTCCTTCATTCCTCAAAAGAATTAAGCTCACATCTATAGAATGGCATTTGACATATCAGAAAAATAAATATAAAATCTTAAAGCAAGAACACACTTTTGCTTGTTTGATTTTTTCCCCTAATTATATGTCAAAGAACCAGTAAAGAATCCTGTGACCTGGGTTCAAAACCTGCTTTACCGGGTATTCGGTGTATGTTCTTTGGCAGGTCAGTTAAACGCTTTCTGCCCAGCTTCCTTTTATATAGGGTGATGCTCCTCGTAGTACTTGTAACTGCTGTAATCTAGAAGTGATTCTATGTCAGGCACATAGAGCCACAGATGACAGAAGTGTCCTTTAAGCTTGACTCTTACACATATATCCAGAGTAATCAATTCAACACGAGAAAATCCACTCCAAGCAGAATTCACAACTGCATTTCTTATTTGGAGGTCCTTGGAGTTTTACAGATTTCTGGCTTGACGCGAACATGTCAAGTCTGTGGTGAACTGAGAGTATGCATCTTACACCCTCCGGAATGCTGAGGGTAGACAAAGAGTACACTCCACACTTGGGCCCAGGCAGGGCTGTCTCTAAATAGTGAGTTTGGTGATGACAAGTGTGGGCATGTTTATTAATTTATAGAGCTGTCCAGAGTTTCAGTGGTTGATTCCACAAGGTTTTCATTTTACAATACAAGCACTTCTTATCTTCTCATTTTTCCTCTCCACATTCCATTTGAGTTTCAACATCTTGTAGGCAAGGAGTGTATCATGTGGAAGGGTGGTCATCTTTGTTGTATTAGGGAAATTTGAAAATTAGAGTGCATTTTTTTTTCCTGGATTGATGTAAAAGGAAGAATTCAAGGTATGGTTACTTGGTTTTGCTTTGATTTTCTCTCTTCAGAGTCTCCAATATTGTTTTCTTATACAAATATCTAACTTATGTAAATAGTGCCTTCCTATCTAATTTATATAAATCATTTGCCTCCTTTTCATTTTTATAGTTTATAATTCACTATACCTTTTATAGAATCTATTTTCTGTAAGGAGCAGAAAGCAGTTTGATTATATACCTTAATAGCTCTTGAGATTGATAAAATACACCACCCCCTCCCTTATTCTTAGGAAATGTAATTAGCATATTGATGGGATTAAAATAAAATTTAAAAGTTCAAATGGCAGAGCTCCTTTTAATATATATAGAGTCACTAAATATAGATAGATAACTAGAGAATCAATATGATTTGGCATCTAGTCTACAGTGAGTTTGAAGATTGTTTCCCCTTCACCATTGTTTGTCTGACTGGCTGTCTTTCTTTCTACCTTTTTTCTTCCCTTCATTTCTTTTGCATTCCTTCTCCCCCTCCCCTTTTTCCACTTCTCTCTCTGTTCAATTTTATAATTTTTCTCTACTTGGTCAACCATTGTTATGGCCCATGTCTCTTTTGTGTACCTATCAATTTATCTATTTATTTTTGTAACTTCAAAAATGATAACTTTGGCCATCAATTCCATTCCGACACTTGACAATTACAGTTGATGTTGTGCTCATAGCTTCTGCTGCTGGCACACAGGCGTTCGTTCGACTTTCTCCACTGTCTGAGAACTGATGCCATTCAAATCACGATCTAATCATAAGCTGTACACTTTACAATGTGTCATAGTTAGCACTTAAAATTGCTGCATAGATAGTTACAAGAAGAAGACAAGTTAAAAACTGCAGCATTTTAGCACTGAAGCACACTTTACATTGATGGTTTTAAATTCAAGGTTGATTTACACTTACATAGATTTGCATTATTCTATCTTCTCCTCCCCTTCAATTCATATTGAATTCATTCAGTAGGTAGGTTATCCAAATAGCTAAAATTAAAGGTCAGTCAATATTGGGATTTAAAGCTATGTTAGCTTATTTCAAAGTAAGTTTATGGAGTATAAAGGGATTTTTAAAAATTCACAGCTCTATAAGATGCTAAAATATTACCAAGTGTAATAATACCATTTTCTACTGTCTTTTAAGATGAAAAGTAGTTGAACGAAATGATAAAAATGACATTTTTACCCTAACACTTACTGACATACATAAAGAGATAACAGGTTTTTTTAAGAGATACCATTCTTGATCCCCATTCAAGGAAGAGAAAGAGAATAGATGTTTTATATTAAAGAGATATTGGCATCTCTCTTTTTTGGTCCCAGCTTACTCTTTAACCATGGTTACTTAGGAATGTTGTAACCCTAGCGTCTCTGAGGCTCCGGCTCTTCAAGTCCCTCTGTCTAACATTAACAATATCTGTCTGTCTATCCCTGACTTTCAATCTGTGAGTGCAAACTCATTTACAACTATGTTTCAGTATTCTTACCTGTATTCGTAATACACATGCTATACTTCACTCACTCATAGGAAAACATGATTTTATGAACATGACAAAGTTAAAATTCAGCGACTTCCTCATTTTTTTTCAAATTTCACACATGTAAATGGTACAAACTATGAAATGTCACAATGACCTTTTGTCAATGCAACAGGTTGATTCACTAGAAATCAAACAAAAAATATTGCAGTTTCATACGGAATTATTTTGTCATAAAATCGTTTGAATGGCATCAAGTTGTTTTTTGTTTTTGCTTTTTTTAGGATAAGGAATGATTTATGGTTTAAGCAAAAACTCATAGTTATGTATGACTTTGTAAAGTATCTGTTAATCAATGCTATTAAATTTGCTTTTTCTATTTTAAGTATCACTCAGGTGGACTTTTGTTTCCTGCATGGGACATTATGCATTTGTAGGGATCAACTGGCCTCAATTAAAAGGCAATCCCAGGGGTTTCTAAGTGCAGAGGGATTTCTATTCCCATCACATAGAGGGAAATGTAAATATCCTCTCCTGGACAAAAGGTCTCTTGATTTAAACAGGACCATTGCACATAAAGGGTACAACCATCCATGTACAAAAGGGATGACAGGAAGATGTAGTTAAAAGTTATGCTTTAAAATATTGGGGCTGATGGGAGTACACAGCTGCTATCGTAATGAAGGAATTCTCTTTCATATCTCCTTGTTCAGCATCTTTGAAATAGGGATCATTAAAGAATGTTTTATTTAGATTCTCTATATGCTTATTGGCAAAGGAGAGAAGTAAAAATTCTCGCAGAAAGCCTTACCCTTTAAAATAGAACACCATGATTTGTCATTCATTCTGAACTATATCTGTTGAGTAAATCCATTTTCACCTACTTACACCAAAAGCAAAAGAGGCAGAAGTGAAGAAAACTGATTACATGATCCATACGCATATCTAATAAAATATCAATGTGTGCTTTCCGACAAGCTTATTCACAATACATTCAGAAAGAACATTCCATTTGTCATTCTCAGCGGGAAAAGGAGGCTTTTTAAGGAAACATTTTATTCTATGACTGTCACCAACATAACAATTACAAGCAAAATAGGGATCAAACTTGGAATGGGTGGGGGAGTGAAGCAATTTAGGAATTGTTATGAAAGTTTGCAAGCAAGTCTGTGCCCAGTTATTTGATTAAAAATAAAAAGAAGAAGAAGAAAGGAAGGAAGGGAGGAAGGAAGGAAGGAAGGAAGGAAGGAAGGAAGGAAGGAAGGAAGGAAGAAAAGAATCCCAATAATCCTGCTTGAAATTCACTGTTTCCAGGATGGGTTATAAAGAACAAAGACTAACTGGTCTCCCCAGGAGATTAGTTTACAGGGATGCTCTATTCTGCTGAGAGCCAGTCTCCAATGGCCACTTTTTACTTCTTCCTTGGTTGAGGGAATTGTTAATATCTGGAGAATAGACTTAAATAAAACGATTGTCTCAACCAGCAGGTTTATGCAACCACCCTGAAATGTTTTAATTATTGTTTTCTTTTCCTTTTTAATTAAGAGACCAGAGGTCAAGCAAGCCCACTGAGAGCTGATCACAGCCTCTGTAGAAATTTCAAGGAAGCCCTAATGATTGGATCTGCTGTTTCTTCTTTTGTTTTGCAGAACAAGAAGAGTGTGTTAATTGCACAGATGAATGCCGAGTGCTCGGTCATTCTGACAGGTGTTGGATGCCACAGTTCCCTGCAGCCAATCAGGCTGAAAATGCAGATTACCGCACAAATCTCTTTGTACCCACAGTGGAAGCTAATGTTGAGACTGAGACTTATGAAACTGTGAATCCCACTGGGAAAAAGACTTTTTGTACATTTGGAAAAGACAAGCGAGAGCACACTATTCTCATTGCCAATGTTAAACCTTATTTAAAAGCCAAACGTGCCCTGAGCCCTCTCCTCCAAGAGGTGCCCTCTGCATCCAGCAGCCCAACCAAGGCATGCATCGAGCCTTGCACCTCAACAAAAGGCTCTTTAGATGGTTGCGAAGCTAAACCAGGAGCCCTGGCCGAAGCGAGTAGCCAGTACCTGCCCACTGACGGGCAGTATCTGTCGCCCAGTAAGCAACCAAGAGACCCACCCTTCCTGGCATCTGATCAGATGGCAAGGGTCTTCGCGGATGTGCATTCCAGAACCAGCCGAGATTCCAGCGAGATGGGCACTGTCTTGGAGCAGCTGGACCATCCCAGCAGGGATCTGGGCCGAGAGTCAGTGGATGCTGAGGAAGTCGTGAGAGAAATCGATAAGCTTTTGCAGGACTGTCGAGGAAGCGACCCTGTGGCTGTAAGAAAGTGAGGAAAGAAAAAGGAAGAAAGAAAGAACAAAGGCATTGGCATTTTCTTGTCTCTTCTGTTGATTTATAAAGGATCCCTCCTGCTGACAACCTGTTTTCCAGGGATGAAGAAAGACCAGTGCTGCTTCAAGGCTTTTAGTGAACATCAGAAGTGCCCACAGTAGGCTCTTTTCACTGCTGTTTGTTTTTCAGAGATAACAATGGTCTTGTTTTGACCAAACTCACATTAGGACAGAATTAATGATGCTGAAAGAGGAAAGACAAAGAACAAGAAGAAGAAGAAGAAGAAGAAAGAAAACGAGAGAAGAAAAGAAGGAAGATGAGGAGTCCGTACCTTTTGACAATCTGTTAGGAAGGTATGCAGTGTGACACCTGATTTCTGCTCAGCTAAGGCTGTCCTCCTGGCTGATGCTGACTTAACTGTTTACCTATAAACCCCATACAAAGCAGGGTCCTAATTTGCGATCTGTGGTGGATGTCTAGCGGTCATCACAGGCTCCTACTGAAAGTCCCAAAAGACCTTGCAGTAGTCCAAGCTACACCAAACATTAACACGTATCTGTGGTAAACATTTCTGTATAAAGTTACCTGCCACACATAGAAACACAAAGAACATTCCATATCATTAGTCAAAAACTAAAAAGCATAAAAATCTTGGTCATCTGTACTACAGTTCATGTCGTATAAAAGTTAAATGTAAAAAAATAGAGTCCATTCTGTCCTGCACACAAATAGACTAATTCACTTCATAAAGGAGAAGAAGGAAATTTAAAGGTTAAAATGCCTACTTAGCATTTTAGTGTCCAACAAATAATGACTTAGGACATTTTAAACTTGACATAGGAAAAATTTAAAACATAGTTACTATTGAATGAATGTTAATCAATGAAAAATTAACATGGCTAACGTTTTTTCTTCATTTGTGGACACTAAAATAGCTCAGGAAAGTGAAATATCTTAGACATATACAAATCATATGACCATTTAAATGTGCAAGTGTAAGAAGATTCAATGTGTTTACATCAAATGACATATTTTTATTGATTTATTGCAGATTCCGTGCATATGAGCCAAATTGTTGAGTGTATAAGAGCTATATTGTGTATTTTATTAAATTAATATATAGTTGTGTTGCAAAAATCTTTGGGCTTATATTGTAAATGGCAAGTGTTGCCTCGGTAGCTGTCGAACTCTATGAGTTTTGTTTTTCCTGCTTCCTTTTTCCCCATGGAGTGTGGGAAGCAGTGCCTCAGAGCAAAGTCTCTCGTCTAATGTATAGTCTACCAAGTGCTGCAGTACATAATCTGTTCAAAATGTGTTTGAGTGAGCGGATGGAGCTAACTGAAGGGTCAAAAAATACATTCATCAGCCATGGTTATGTGCAAGTCCTTGTAAAAGCTTTTATTAAAGTCATGCTACATCACAAGATTTACATTTGTACTAGAACCTGAAACTTGCTCATTGTTTCTTTCCCCCAATAACACATGCAGCTTCTGCCTATGTAGATACCACACCCTTCATTAATCTCCAAAAGTGTCATCTGTGGTTTGGGATGTGCGTTCCCATTATATTTCAAAAACATGAAAAATGCTTTAATGCATGTGTGGTACCAGCACTGTTTACTTGCATTGTGTAGTGTTTTTCAAGAAGTCTGAGTCTTAAGAAAATTGTTTTTTCCTGTTTTTCAATGCTCTTCTGCCTCTTTTTATTGGCGTCCTTCAAGAACAATACACCTTCTTTTCTTTCATTTTAGTGGCACCTTTTCTGTGACATTTAGCAGGTTTCAAACTTACTTCCACATGAGGCTGGGAAACCTCAAATTTCAGGAATTGGAAAAAAAAATTAGCACTTACAGAAGTAGCAGCAGATGGGGAAATGCCTTGATTGACATTTTCCTTCAGCATTTAAAAATTTTTGGCATTTTACAGCTTCATGACAAACAGTCTGCAGCCCATACCTAGAGGATGTGGCGCTGGCTTAACTAAAGGCTGTTTGTACACTGGAACAGGAACGTGCATCCTTTGCAAACTGGTGGAGAATTCTGTGCCTTCTTTTCTGGCCACTAAGCCAGTGTAGAAAAAGCATAAATGTCATAAGATCCTTATATTCAAAAGCAAAAGCAAAAACAGATACCAACATAGAACGGAATTTAGTTTTGTAATTTCAAACCTGAAAAAATTCTACTGAAAATATTTCTGCTGAATGCTGTCCCGATTTGAGACTGTCCCACACTGGCAACACTGCTTTGAGAGGGAAGAGCGGACAACTCCCATCAGCCTTATTCGCTTGAGAACTGTACTTGGTTCCTACTAACAGCTTTTTCAAAGCTCTATGCTGAGTTTTTATGATTCGTAAATGTGGAAATGAGAGAAAGAAGGGATCTTGTACATGTGAAACCTAATTGACTCTCTATATTTTGGACAATTTATGTATCTGAAATGTGTTCACTCTCTTATATGCTTTTTAAAATTTTTTTTGGCCAGGAGACTACAGGTTGATAGCTGAAATTTGATGGGAAACCAATTTCCCTTTAGTCTTACAAATATTGCCTCTCTCTTACCAGACAAATAGCCATTTAGTAAAATCTAAGGCAGTATGTAGATGAAATAAACTAAGAGAGTGGGGTTTACTTTTTAAAACATCCTTAGTGCTGAGTAAATAGTTCAATATATTATGTGTGTCTGAAGACTGGAAACACCGTACAATTTTAAGAACTGATTGTGCCAGTGGATGAGGGATGTACCTTTAGAACTCTCTGTTGCTGCTGTAAGCTATTTAACACATTATCTGCATTTAGTAGGGGCCGTTATTTATTCACAAGATGGTGGGAATTCGGTAGTAAGGACTCTTTAGCTTTTATTGTTGAGTTGAAGGAATTTTGCTTTTATTCATTTGGCTAATAACTGCCTTCATCACAGAATTCTGGTGCTTGGTTTCCCAGGAAGCCTTATGAGATGCCAAAATCACATCTTTAGGGAGTATCTTGCCCCAGAGAGTGATGCATGATCAAACAGTGTGGTTTCAGCATAATTTAGAATATAAAAAATTGTCTTAAATCACACCCTCCTAGACACACACACACTCAAAATTAAGAATTTCATAATACTTCGCCTTTAAGTATTTCAATAACTGAGTCCAAGCACAAGTAAAGACGTAATTTATGGACCTTTTAGTTAGAATCCAGAGTTTCAACAATTGTTTACTGATAAATTCTTTAATATTTTTAAACAATCTTCCCATCAAATATGAATGATGTAAACTAGTTTCATCAGTGAAAGCAGTAAGAATAAGTGTTAGTTATACTGATACCAAAGTAAACATTAAAGAGACATATCATGCAATTTCAAAGAATGGATTCATGTTATTTCTTAACCTGACATACATATTCCCATTGCAGGCTATGTGCAAAGATTGGCGTACTACTCCACAAATCAATTGTATTCCTGGTTGGAAAATTGACTTCTTTTGTTTTCCTAAATTAGCTGAAATCTTGTAAAACATGACTTTCCTTTAAAGGATCTAGACACTGCTCAATTTAAAAAAAATGACACCATAAACACAATCCATGTAGTCATAGAGCAGGAAGCTTTATTAGAACAAGGTGAAAGCTGTTTTCTTGCCACTGGAGTAGAAGTTGCTGAGGTCAACAAGTAGACTGAGGTCTGGCATAATATACACCCACTCATTATTGTCTAATGATATTCTTTTCACAACAGACAACATTTATCAGAAAATTAATTCAAATTCATTTTGAGAGTTTTGGCTATCAAGATGTGTTATTTTGAAAAATAATTGGATGAGACCTGATTAATGTCCAACTTTCCTGGCCCCAGTGTTTTGCAAGTTGGCTATTCCCATATATCAACCCCATCACTCCATGTGGTTCTTAGCTGCACCAAGCAATTGGTGAACAAGGACAACAATAAAAGCAGCATACATTGTATGGATTTATCTCAACGCTGTTGTTTAATGGCTGTGTTTAATGTGACCTATCTGGAAAATGAGGACTCCGAATAAAAAGCTATTACTAATAGTGGCGTTGCCTTCCCTTGCGTTCATTAACACAGAAGTCATGCACTACATGCTGCCACATACCACAGGAACCCGATCATTATTTCAGAAAAGAGATTGAATTCCCAACTTATTTTTGGTTGCAAGTTTTCTGCTTGCCTGTAAATAGGAGATTCAAAAACTAACAATAGTAATTATTCAAGAGGAATGGGATGACAATCTTTCTCCAAAGTATGTGCAAATTGGCTAGTCAAATAATTACCACGAGGTCACAGACTAGTAGTCCTGGTGAATTTTAATCTTAATCGAATTGAACATAAACTGGTACACAATCTCAAAGGATTTCAGAAAAGCCAATGTGTAAACTTTTTCATAATCTTACACTCCTGGTGAAAGCCTATATTCACAAATTGTTTTTTTAAAGTAAACATGTTTACTATGTCATTTTAAATGATGTGCCTCTCTACTTATTCAACAAGCACCTATTGCAATCCTACTTTCTAGTTTCCTTTATGTAGTATGCCCCGGGAGTAAATAGTAAACAAGGAAATGTGTCTGAGTCACAATCTGGGGGTGGGGTGGTGGTGGGATAAATGAAATTCTTCATAAATTGGATTTAGTATTTGCATTTATTTCTTAGGTACGTTCATACATGTCACATATTTTTCTGTAATCTGACTCTCAGGAAATGCATTCTCCCAGATTCCAAGCCAACATCTATTCTCTCTGTTGGGTTTTGTTTGTTTACTTCTCTTCTGAATCAAGCAAAACAGAAATCAAGAAGGGTTTCTTGCATGCCCTCCCAGATTGAAGAACACCTCGATGGGATGAACTTCGTTGAGTAGGCCGACTATGAGACTACGCTGTCTATTTGTTTGCTCACACTGTGGCTGATTTGTTGTTTTAATCCTCGAACAGCATTGAGGTGCCAGAAGTCACATATAAGGATCTTAAGTGACGATTTTATTTTCCCTTCAGAGAATTCTCAGCTTGTGCCTAGTTGATACTAACACAGGAATTTGCTTAATGTTGCTTTGGCACTACTATTTTTCTCTAATGGAAAAAAAATGTATTTTTAAGGAAAGCAAAGTCTATTAGCCTAGCCTGCTCGTCACTAGTTTTGAATGGAGGAGGTCAACAACGCTGTCCCTGTCCGTTAAGGAGAATCTGACCAATGTTGAAGTAGTAATGTGTTTCTAAATGAAGAACTTAGCCTGGCTATGTTGCAATTAGGAGGATGTCATGAGTGGAATATATATTCCAGGCATCCTTCCGAAGGATGAACTACTAAAAAGTCAAACAAATAACTTTTTAAAGTAGATATGCCCAAGACAGTCTTAGAGAATAGATCTTTATAGAAAGAAAAGAGAATGTAAAGGTCACTATTGAATCATTATAGCACACAGATAGAGGTCAGCAAATTAATGGACCATTTTAAATCCTTCACATACTTTTGAAGATAGCTGTACAGGGTTCAAGGAAATATGTTCAGTTGATTTTAGACATTTGAATAACTTACTCTATAGTCGTGATTAAATTCTCAACATTCTTACATGGTGGGGGTCCAGCTTTATTTAATTGTGCTTTTATCAGAGGCGGTCACTGTTTCCAGGCCAGTTCTATAAAGGAGAGGTCTTATTTTCTACCCACTAAGAATAATCACACAATGCAAAAGTCCTTCACAGGAGCAAATATTTATTTATAAAAAGCTTCTTCGTGGAGACAGGGAAGGCCTATGCAATACTTACCTTAACCTCCCCAAACCAAGAAACTGCAAGGGTTTTAAAAGGGTCTCAAACTGGGGAAATAGTTTCATATTTATCCCTAAGGATGGGCAGGGACTGCCAGTAAATGGCTCAGTCAGGCAGAGTCCTTGTGACAGGATATGTGTGCAATAGTTTGTGCTGCAAAGGTGTCTTCATGGAGTGAGCTGGGTTTATTCTGGGATGTTCCATGTATGCACTTGGGGGACATCATACTGCCAGCCAGGATTCTTTGGCCCAAACTGGCCCTTCCTGAAAAACAGCTTTCAAACGAGAGTTTTATGTCAGTTGTGTAGCACCCTGGAGATGGGTGGTGCCACACATAAGGATGTGGATTTAGCTGGCGGAAACATCTGGTCAATTCAGACAAAGATCTGAGTACGAACCCCAAACTTTTCTCCATTACCTGAAGACTCCCTCCCTTTTGGCTTTCAAAATTTTTTATGAAAATGTTTTGATTTTTTTTGAGGCATACTCTCTCTTTAAAAAACCTCACTGCCGCTAAATTGATTCCAATTTGGTGATCCTACAGCACGTGGGTAGAACTTCCCTGGTGGGTTTCCAAGACTGTAACTCTTCAGAAGTCCAGGGCCCCATCTCTTCCCCACAGAGTGGCTCATAACTTTGAACACCTGACTTCGGGATCAGCAGCCCACCTCCGACCTGAGACAGCCCAAGGACTCCTGTTTCCTTGTCTAACTTTCTTACAAATAATCCACTTTAGCAGGATTATTTTATATCGGCAGTGTTAGATTATTTTATATAGAAATTGTTTTCTCTATATTTATTGTTCTCTATATATTACAGAGAGGAGAAAATTTTTGTTTATTCTCTTTTCTATACACATTAAATTAGTTACGTATTTCCAATAAAATGTTTTATTATGACTTATATTTTTAAAATTTCACATTCCTGACATTCCAAATCTTAGTTGAAACTATTTAATAATATCTTTCAAAAATTGGGATGGGAGGACCCACATTTGGAACACTCCTTTTGTTTGCCTTATACATAGATTATGAACTTGGCCTTCCATGTTGCTTACATTACATTTCTGCTTGCTTCCCTAGGAATTTACAGCATCAAGTCTGGCCAACTGACAGAATAATTTATAAAGCTAGATACTTAGGATTTCTGTCTGTGGTGAGTTTTCAAATTAACAGAAAACTTTACTAAATTCCCAAGCAATAACAGAGGTAAGGATTCTGAAGCACAGAGAGATAACAGTTTACCTAATATAGACAAGTTGGTAAGTCTAAAAATCAAAAGTGAACTGAAAGTTCAGATTCTGTGAGTGCATTCAAATTTTGTGAAGTCAGCAATCTGGTCATATTTAATATCTTGCCTTTCTAGTATCCTAAATTACTTGAGTAAAAATTTATGCATTTTATAACATATTTTCTCCTTTAATTGATAGTCGCATCTTTTACTTTAGATGGTTTGTGTGGGTGTGATTTCCTGCTCGTTAATTCTCTGAGAAGCACAGAAAGAACTCTGTGGTCTCCAAGTACACACAGAAAAGTAGTAATAAATATTGCATCTCTGTAAAGTTAGCCTGCATTTCCCACCGTCATCGATTGCAAAGTTTCACTACATTGATGGTATGGTCTCAAGAAAATATCAAAGGGTTAAGATTGTTCTATAAACCCTTCATTCTCACCCAAAGCTACCATGTAGACTTTTCTCAGTCCTTCTACTTTATTTATTTTGCTTATTCTACACTAATAGTAATAAAAACTGTTTTTATGGAAAATCCTAAACAAACTCTGGTAATATTGAAGATGCATTTAAAATAATGCACTAATACACATGGATTAATATGTATGCACAAAATCCTAAACCCATTACCATCAAATTGATCCTGATTCATAGCAACCAGGAGAATCAATTTCAAAGTCAGTAGTAAAAACCAACACAAAGAAGAGGAGAAGAGATTTGCACACCAGCTTGATGGTTAAGAAATGTGTAACACGTTTTAAAATTATATTTATGACTTCTTTCCCATGAGATAAAACATATCATCTATCTCTCCAGTGATTAGCTGAAAAGGGAGAAATTACAAATATTAGCAGCCTTTTTTCAGGGCGATTAATCAAAACTGACGTTCATCTGAACTTGCTTGACTTTAACTTATTAAGGTATTGTTTAATATATATATATTTTTTTCTACTTACAGGGAAAACACTGCCCTCAGATCAGTTACAATTCATAATGACTTTATCGGACAGAGTAGAATTGCTCCCTGGAGTTGTTGAGACTTTAGTTTTGATGGGAGCAGCCAGACTCATCTTCCTCCCTTGGAGCCTTTGGTATGGTTGAGGCCCTTAGCAGTTATCAGTGAACTTTCTGGACCCCAAGTCTCCTCCAGACAGAGAGAACACACAGCTGTTGTTTCACACGTACGCTCAAGAGGTCTAGAAATTAATGTTCCTGCTTCCTTATCACCAGTATGTTCTTTTAGGTTTTAGAAATGTAAATTCAAACAGATAAAATGTACAATTTCCATATCATTGATCTGTTAAATATGTCAATACCACCTTTTTCATAATACTAAATCATATTTTTAATACGTCCCTTTTTGAAAAGTATTTTGAAAATATTTTGAAAAATATCACTGCAGTTTTAAAGAAAGGTATTTAATACTTTATCTTTTCCCTTTTAATATCTGTTATCTCTGTGTCTCTTTTACATAGTGCTCATTTCGTATTTATTGACTGCTGACTGAAAGGTCGGCTGCTCCACCCCCCAGCTTCTCTCTCAGAGCGGGGAGAGACGGCCGTCAGATTTGCCAGCTTGGAAATCCGACGAGACTCGCTCAGAGTCATCATCAACTCAGTGGCAGTGGCTTTGGTAGTTTTAAAAATAATGTTTCATCTATTTCTCTCCTGTGCCTACTCTTATTTTCATCTTTTTCCACCTCATACATTTTCTCAATCAATAGATATGTTTTTTTTCCTTTTTCTGTTCCAATAACCCTTATATTCCATGTGCTTTAGAGACTTGATGGAGGTAGTAATGGCTTATCCTATAATTGTGTCACATAGAAAAATCTCCAAATTGTCTTTCTTAACCTATAGAAAAAATTGACAATATTTTTTTTAGATATAACCTACCTGGAGTACTACAGCTGACAAAATGTATAATAAAATCAACACCATACCAAACTGCTATCAAGTGGATTCTGACCCAGAGTGACCCCTTTGGACGAAGTAGAACAGCCAAATAGATTTCCAAGGCAGTGTATACATATATACATTCT